GTATACATGGTATATATATATATATACATTTAGTTCACGTATGATGTTAGATGATTTGAACACTACAAGCATGCAGCTAGATATGTTTTTCTGTATAACGAATCGACGGTTTCCTTTGCATATAGGACAACTCAGCATTGACAGTGCACTCAATAGCATTATAAAAAGTTTTTACATTTATAATTAGTAGAAATAATTATTAATTTTGGGTTTAAGTGGATAATGTATCAATTTTGCTCTCTCCATAGAATGGGGGGCCCCCAGTCTTCGCCGTCTCGAGTGGTGATACTGGGGGGCCCCTACCGCGAGCGATTGAGGGATAGGGGCCCCCCTTGGGCCCTAAGGAAACGCATAATAAACGTAATTACATTTTAAATATATTACTTTATTAAATGAAGTTGTGTATCCGTTTATAAGAGGCAGTTTCCTTAACACACAGATATATGGGGGCCCCCCCTGCCACTCAGTGTCTGAAACAAACAGACAAAGATTTATATTTCGTTGCGCCTTCTTTCCCTGTCTGTACACTCTAATCTTTTTGTTATTTTGTTCTCTATATTACCCCAGATAAACTCAATCACTACCCTAAACCCTTCCATGTTTTCCCGGCAGGCTGGTAGACAGCGACATCGCCTCATCGCCCCCAGGCCAAGGGCCCCCAAGCCAGGGGCCCCCGAAGGGTGGAGGCCCCTCTGTGGGGGTGTCTATGGGCCCCTTTTCTCGCCCCTTTAAGCAGCTGACTCAGAGAGTCTCCCCTGTGGGCCATTGCAGCAGCAACGCCAGCGGCGACAGCAGTAGCAGCAGCAGCTGCTGCTGTTGCTGCTGCCGCAGTACCGAAAATGGCTTTGTCTTGCGGTAGTTTACTGTCTCTAGCCCTTTGTTTTATGTTCCTTTGCTTGTCCCCAGGGGCCCCCCAACCCTCGAGGCCGCCGCAGACACCTGGCCCGGCCGCGGATCCCACCGCGGTGTCTTCTTCAGGTGTATCTCCACACCCCGGGAGAGCTGCGCCTAAGACCCCCCAGAAGAACGCTGCGGGGCCCCCCTCCACGGTGCAGGATGTCTGTGGCGCCCCCGAGGACTTGACCGCGTGTGACATCGTGCGAGATGGCGTCTGTATCATATCTGGGGGGTACCTGCGCCTCATGCGGCGTCGCCGCTGGCGCGGGCGGAGGCGGCCCCTCAAAAGGGCCCCAGGGGCCCCTCCTGAGCCCCGGTGGGTTCAGGGCCTGCGCATCATCAGCGGGGGAGACATAGAAGTGCGAGGGGCAGTGATCAAGTGCAGGGGGACCGCAGCTGCCGCTGAGCAGGGCACGGTGTGGGACCTCCGCCGCCGCCTGCGAAGGAGAGGGGGGCCCCTTGCAAGCTCCAAGAGTTTGCGTCGCCTGGGCCTGAAGGGCCGGGGGGTACCCGCGGGGGCCCCTCCCGCCTCGAAGGGGGCCCCCACGCCAACGCAGCGCATCGAACTCTGCGCCCGCGGCAGTATTCGGCTGCTGGGCCCGGCGGTGTTGCACTGCAGCGAGACGCTGCTGTGGGCTGGGGACTCTGTCACGGTGGGGGAGGCAGCAGAAGTGACTGCCTCTGCAACCGTCTCCTTGAGGGGGCCCCCAAGCCCGAGGAGGGGCCCCCGGGGCCCTTCTGCTGCTGCTGCTCCTCCCTCTGCTGCGGACAGTTCGTTTGCGGCATTGGCTGCCAGCCCGACGCTGGACAGCGTTGCTGCTGCTCTTCGGCAACAGCTTGCGCTGGGGGCCCCTTCTTCTGCAGTGGGACCCGGGGCCCCTGGAGGTGGGTCCCCCTGGGGGCCCCCCCACCAACCGGGCGTTCCCTTATCCCCCTCGAGTGCCAAGGAAGCGGTATCAGCAGCTTCAGCTCCAGCTGAAGTGCAGAGCGAGGCGGGGGGCCCCCAGGGGGCCCTGCAGCAAGAGGCCCCTGAAGACCCTTATCCAAGGGGGGGCAGCCATGGGGGCCTCGGCGGCGTGTTGAAAGACCGCTGCACAGCCAATGCCTTCAGTGGGTTTATGCATCGTGCTGCTTGCTACTGCAGCTGCTGCCCTCACCTGAAACAGTCCGCAACCATCCTCATCGTGCTGCTGCTGCGGTGTTGCTGTGCTGCTGCTGCTGCGGTTTTATTGCTGCAGGCAATCCAGTGAGGGCCCCTGCTGAGCTGCGAGGCGATGTGTTCCTGCCCCTTGTGGCGGGTGAAGCGGGTGTGGTTTACAGGGGTGGGGTTGGGGGCCCACTGGGTTCACCCCATGACGGGTGGGGTGCGGCCTCTGCGCAAGAGGATGACCTCCTCGGGGCCCCCAAGGGGGGGGGACTGGTGGTGGTGGTAGCGGGGCGGCAGCTGTCTGTTGAGGGCCAGATAAGTGCTGCTGGAGAGCCTGGCTGGGGCTGCGAGGTGACGGGGCCCTCCCCTTCTAAGGGCTCGAGGCAGGCAGCTGGGGGGGCCCCGGGCCCCCACATGGGGTCCAAAGGGTGGCGAGGCTCAGCGCCCCTGAAAACAGTTTTCCGCAGTCTCCTTGGGCGGCCATCAGGAGGAAGCGGCCCTACAGAGGCAGGAGCAGCAGGTGCAGCAGCTGCAGCAGCAGCAGCAGCAACCTGTGCAACTGCAGGCAGCGGAGGCTCCATTGTGCTTGTGGGGGAGTCTGTCGTCTTCCCCAGCCCCATGCGGAGTGGTCGGGTGTCGGCTGCAGGTGGTGGCTGTATTCGGGGCCGCCCTGATGGGTGGGAGGGAGCCGGGGGCCCCTCAGGGGCCCCCCAAAACAGGGTACGGGGGCCCCAGGAGGTGCCCGAGGCCCTAGGAGGCCTCTGCGCTGCAGGGGGAGGAGGGCGCATCGCCATATATGCGGAGCAGCCGCATCCCTTGGACCCCGTGGTAAGCCGACAAAAAGAAGTGTTGAAGACTGCAGTCAGGGTCGCCCCCAGCGCCCTGCTGTTGCTCTTGCTGCTGCTGCTGTT